TATTGCAGTAAAACAGTGTGTTTTATGTGAAAAATCACCATTAGTAATGGTAGTACCTGTATCTATAGCTTGAATGGTGGATGGATAAGGAAAGATGTTTATCTGAGTAAGAAAAGGCAAATGCAAACACAGAAATGGCTAGCAAAAATTTATTAGTCTTTTTCCTTTCTGGGTGTCACACTATATTGAAATAATATAGATTACCATAGCTTTCAAAAAATGCGCCAAGGCAAGATATTTTTTCCATACCCATTCCTTACCAAGCTCAGACGGGCACACTCGTGAAGAAAATGGGCCAGGAAGACACCAGTATATTTCTTTTAACTATTGAATGAAAGACTTTCATTCAATAGTTAAAAGAAACATATTTTCCAAGCATTGCAAGTGTACCACGTTTTTACATTTTTCTAGTGGAAAAAATAAGGTTTGTATATTACAGTAGGAGAAAGCGAGGAATTGCCTGTCGCGTTGCGCATATGCTTATCACATCGTCCAAATTTTCTATTACAGTTTGGATTTTTAAAATTCTTTTTATGTTATAATAAATGTACATAATTATCTCAGATCATATGTTCTGACTTTTAGTTTGAAATTTATAGGTCCCTTATGTGTCTCTGTCAAAAGTTTAAAGCAGTATCAGTAGGCATTTAGCAGTTTCTCGCAGATTTTCAGAGATTGAGCATACACATTCAAAAATTACTTGTAGAGACATTGAAATTGGATTAAATACACTGGCCTTTTGTAAATATTAAGTACATCTTTCAGTTTTAAAATTTGATTTAGAATCTGCTTGTTTTTCCTGAAAAGCATTAATTGTCCTGGTTATATATTTTTGTAATTTTTCTTAAAGATCTTACAACATACTGATGGGAGTGGAGAAAGATACATATTAGGATATTCTAGACATTTTTGAGAATTACTCCTGAGATGTAGTTTTAGTATATACTTTTTCCATGAAATGTAAAGAGAAAAATTAAATACAGGGCAATTTAAAATGAAAGAAAAATAATGAGATCTTCTACACATCAAATTATGAAGACTAAAGTCATTATCAATACAGCAAAGCATTAGCAAAACTATTTCCTAAGTATTCTTCTCTTGTTGTTGTTTCTTCCTGAATTATACAGTGTTTGTATTCAGTTTATAGGTCTGGCTCTCTGGCATCTTTTATATTATATTGTTTTTTATGTTTTTTTTTCTTTTAAAGAAAAGAAAAACAATTTAAAATATGGTATAAAATTTCAAAACAACATTGTAAGAGGATAACAATGGTTGGTATATTGTATAGTGTTATACTTCAAAGTATTTGCTCATATTACAAGACAGTCATGAAAAAATGATCAAAAAAGTTTAGGCATAAACCATTCTTTTTATGACATAATAGTAATTAGTAGTATAACTATCTTAATTATCTTGTGTATATATTTTTCTTTTCTCTTGTTTCTTTTCTCCTAAACCGTCTTTAATCTGCAATATTTTATTCACTTTTAAAAAATATTTTTAAAAATCTTTTATTAATATATTTATTTGGTATAGAGTCTCATTATGCAGCTCAGACTCGTAGTGATCCTCCTGTCTCAGCCTCCCCAACACTGGGATTACAGGCATGCATCATCATACCTGGTTTCCTTGACCCACACAGTGTACCTGGGGTTCCAGGGACAGCAAGGCATGTGGTACCAGGGATTGAACCCAGGTCCTTGTACTTGCTGGGCAGATGCTTATATGACTGAGCTATCTCTACAGCCCCTTTATTCACTTTTCTAAAAGTGACTTCTGCAAAAAATCAGATAGCTGATTTCTTAGATCCTCATTCTTATAAAACAATGATACATTTGGGCTGAGTTTCATCATGCAGGTATGCCCTGCACACTGACCCCAGGTACCATCACCTCCCATACACTCTAAGGATTTTACATCAGTCAATTTTAGTTTAGATTATTTTTAGGTATCATCTTTTGATTTTACTATCTTCAGGTACTGAATATCAAGCACACTTTCCACTTCAATCTATTTTAACGTTTTTATTAATATTTTAAGTTTTATTCATGGCATAAAATCTATTAGTTTTATTCTAGGTAAATGCTATGTTGTTATGAATTTGGAAACTCAGTACAGTACTATGTTTTTCCTATCATAGAATGATCAGAGCTAAAGGAGACGTAACAAGTTATTAGATCCATATTCTAGAATCTTTTCCAAGATAGATACCCCATCCTGAGGAAACATAGGGAAATTAAATATTTTATCAAAATTTGACAGTTTTGTTAGAGAGGATTGGAATTAGACATTCATGCTTTCTCAGTTATTTAAACCATTCTTTTTTTATGTATTTAGTACAGGGTCTATAGGGTCTCACTACGTAGATTGGACTCGAAGTGATTCTCCTGTTTTTAGCCTCCCAAGCACTGGGATTGCAGGCGTGTACCACTATGCCTAGTTTCCACCACCTTATCAGCAAGCCCTGGGGGCAAGGCCAGCACGGCACACTGGGGATCGACCCCAGCAGCTGCACTCTGCCTAAACAGGCTCTTTAGTCCACTGAGCTATCTAGCCAGCCGTAAACCATTCTTTGGTGCTATTTTATGAAATACTTTCTGGGATTAGAATTCCACATGTAACAATCTGTACAGCAAGCAATTTTCTATTGTGATTTTACAATTTTATGGACTATGCCTTAAGTATTTAAAAATCTTTTTCTCTTAAGATAAATTATTTTTATTTGCTTATTTTATTTTAAACAGATCATGTTGTTTGTGAAGAAGAGTTTAAATATGCCATGTTAGCTTTAAACTGTATATGCCCTGCAACATCTACACTTATTACACTACTGGTCCATACTTCCAGAGGGCAGTAAGTATATTATTTATTTAAGATAACATTCTAAATAACTTAATATAAGTGTGGTTATGTGATTTAGAAATAACAGTGTTTTCAGTTAAATATGTAACTATATTTATATTTGTGTGAGCTATCTTTATCTGCTAGATATATGTTTTAAGGGGTGCAAGAAAAGAAATTTGATAGTTACTTGATGTCTTTTTTTCCAGTAATCTTGAAATAATGTGTTGCATCCTAATTTCTTGGTGTCCACATCATCTGTGAATTGGGGCATGTTAATGTTTATATTGCTTAAAATTATTAAAATCGTTCCTTTATTCTTAATTTGGTGTTTCAGACAAAATGTTGATTTTCTAAATCAAGTCTACTATGTACTATGCTTGGGACTATGTTTCTTTAAGTTAAAAAGTTAAATTGATAGTTATTTAAATGAAGTGCCAAGAGAAGTAAATCCAGCATAAGTAAAATCTTCCTTGGAATTTACAGTAGGTAGAGTAAGTGACTAAAAGCATAAAAATAGCAAACGTCCAGTGATATTTTAAAGCAGATTTTACTATTTTACTTCTAGTAGCATTTTTGTTCTGTTGATACAGTGAGAATTCCTCAGGAGCAATTTTCTCACGTTCTGAATAAAAGTGTTTCCATTCTGCACATTGATTGACAAGTCTTCAATTTGTGCAGTAGAAAAGTTATACCAAAACATGAATGAAAATGGTTGCTTCTTTGCAAAGTGTGATCAACATTTTTCATGCAGTTACAGTTCTGCAAGTCTGTTTAGGCATCAGTTAATTGAACAGTCAGAAAAACTCAACTGTATCCTCATCATTTTGCCCTACAATCTTTGTCATGTAAGACTGTAACTGAATATCAAGTCTAAATGTATTGTTATACATACAAAGGAGAAAACAAGGACAGCCAATACTGTGTCACAGGACTCATTGAGTGCAGCTAAATTACATTGTATAACTCCTTGTGAATATTTTTACAAACACAAAATGAAAAGTGTATAATACACTTCAGTGAAAAATGTATAATATAATGAAATAGCAACCATTAAGAATATCACTGGAGAACTGAGTGTTACACATACATGCTTTTAGGTTGTTGGCGCCTGAGCGAACAGGAAGCTCCCGGTATTCTGGAAAGGTTGACAGAATAATTTTGAGCAGTACCCACTTTCTCAATTTGAGAAAGGTTGAGCAAAAAGATGTGATAAGAAAATGAAATATATCGGAGAGTATTAATCTATTGTTTGTTTGTGAACCTAAGATAGAAAACAGTGATACACTGTTATATAGAAAAGTTATGACACACTTCTCTTACACATATTTTTTGCTTATATGAATACATTCATTATTTCTGGCTTTCAAAGTCTCATTTTTGAGGTAACTACTACTAAAGATAAAGATTTAAAATGCAAGTAGGGGATTAAATCCAGACATTGAAATACCTATACTTTGGAAAGAGAAAATTATTATTTTTCTTAGAAAGCAAGGCATGAGGACTAGAATTTGTAATAATTTTACTAACATCTTACATGGAAATTAATTAGTTAAAAGTGTGCGTGATCTGTTGCCATCATAGCTGACTAGTGTAGAGATGACATTCATGTTACACATTGCATAGTCTGGGGATCAGTACTACGTCCATGGCACCTTGTACTTCTTTCTTTTCATTCTGACATCTTTAGCAAACATATACTGAGACATCAGGTACTTGGACTCAAGATTTTCTAATAGAAAAACAAAAAGAGATATCTTATGAAATATATTGGAGTAGCTAATACAGGGTTTTTGTTTTTGTTTTTTTTTTTTTTTTTTTTTTTTTTGTGGAACAGGGGATTGAACTCAGGCGCTTGCACTTGCCAGGGAAGCACTTATTCCACTGAGCCATCTCCCCAGCCCCGCTAATACAGTTTTTCCACACTGACATGAAGTAACAAGTATAATTACAAATTACATATATAGTCACAAAACTTGTTTCATTTTTTCATTAAGAATATGATTATGTTTTTGTATTCAAATACAAGGTTGATGCTAGGTATATCTATTAGAAATGTAAACATACGCACATATTTATTTAAAATTGGATATTTATTCATGCTATGTATTGTATGAATGACAGGCAAAGCAAAGGAAGTTAGCAGAGGACATACTGAGTCATATAATACACTTTGGTAGCCTGAATTTTATATGGGAATTGCCATGATGGTCTTCATAGACACTAAACTAAAAGCCTGAGTCAGGGATGTAAAGTTGGCACTATTAAAATAAGGACATATAAGGCTGGTGAAATAGCTCAGCGGACCAAGTGCCTGCTTAGGCAAGAGCAGGGACCGGGGTTTGATCTTCAGTACCGCATGCTGTGTCAACCCCTCCCCTGTGTGTGCTGAGCTGGCCACCCAGAGTAGGCGTAATGGTGCATGCCTTTAATTCCAGCACTGGGGAGGCTGAAAACAAGAGGATCACTACTGCGTATCACTATTCCCAGCTGCATAGTGAGGCCCTCTACCAAATACATTAAAAAAAGGAAATAGCAAATATGACTGCAGCTTATTTTTTGTTATGTTTATTTTTTATTTTATTTAAAAACTTTATTTATTTATTTATTTATTTATTTATTTGTGTGTGTGTGTATGGCCAGCTCAGGCTACCAGGGGGCGGGGCTGGCTGGCATGTGGTACTGGGGGATTGAACCGCGGTCCCTGTGCTTTGCTAAGCTTGTTCTAACTAGGTGCATTAGACCACTGAGCCATCTCACCAGCACCTGTTATGTTTATTTTAATAATTCTTTCTTTTTTGTTTTATTTTTATTGTTTTTTATTTTATTGCGAAACAAATTTAATAGGACATTTTCAATAATTAATCCATTGCACATTGTTATCTTCTCAGCAGTCATCCACAGCACAAGAAGCAGCCAGGACATCCTGTCCAAACACTACTACTGCAAATCCCTCATCTCACTGAACCAAGAGAAAGCAGCCATACATCTATCTTAACTATTCTGTATATACAAACACAAAATGGTCTTTCCTCTGTATTGCCCTCTCCAGTTCAGTCCTGTCAGAGATGGGTTTTCTATTGGCATCTAAATATCATAGGTGCTTGAATTCAGCAAAACAGTCCAACACAGTCCAGTAGTCCACAATAGTAGTAGGTTATCCACAGAAGTTGTTGACTAGAGCCTTTTACAGCTCAGCATATTAATATGGCTTTACTTTATATACCTCGTTTTTATACTTTACTGCTGGATGGTTAAGACCAAGATAAAGCAAGATCTATATAACAAGAAATGTAACTTTTGTATCTGATAAGGATTTATCCTGTAACCCTGTACTGCACTTTGTAGATCCTTTGTCACTGTCACCCATGTGGATGAGTCACGACCATTGCTTGACCAATATGCTCTCTGTGAAAGCCTGAGAGAAAGTTTTCTCTCCAAGTAACTCTCCTTAGGCACACTCTACATTATTAATCACATTCCTCTGTGGTTCCATAATTTTGATCAGAAAATTTGGGGCACAACTGAGTTACATGATGTTACAGTACGGGCTCTCCTATGTCTTCAGTCTTCACTGACTTTGAAAGGCTAGGGCCAAAATGTTGGCAGACCTTGTAGCCCTTCATTTTCTCCAATTTTTGATCTGGAAACTTAGGTTGTTAACACTCCAGAACAGAAGCTTATTATTACCCTGCAACATATGCAGTTCGGTTTACCCTATCTGTCTAAATATCGGACATCTTAGGCATAACGTGGAACAGGTATTGTCCATCAACTATTGATGTGTTGAAATTTAAGTCCTTACAGAATATGAAGAAAAAAATTTAAAAAATAGGAATAAACACATTTTTACACAGAAATTTAGAAATCTAGCCATATACAGCATTGTATCGGGACAGTCCTGTGACCTCTTTTTTTTTCTTGTGTCTTTTTTTTCATTTATTACCCATTTTTTAAAAAAAGAAAAATGAGAAACAAAAAAACCCTTTTACTTGTAAGACAGTATGGTGATAATTGGTATGTCATGACAAGAAGTATGTATTTAGAAGACCAGAATGACAGGCATTCCAAGCATGACCCTACTATTACACATTGATATCTTCAGAGTAGTTGCTTGGTTCACAGGTATGAGCATATATAGTTAATCAGGTTGAGAATCCTACCAATTAACTGCTAGTTTCAAAAACCTGCTGATGTTTCTCAGGATCATTGCCTTGTCCATCTTGTGAGTGTAAATGTATGGCTTTGTCTCTTTCCTGTTTCCCAGCTTTTCTCCTTACCCTCTCCTCATTGTCTAATCCTCAAGTTCTTGCTTTCCTTTTAGTTGTGTTACACCTTTCTGTTTGTATTTCTTCTTTTGATTTCATATACTGGGAAGACTATATGATATTCACACATGTGGGCCTGGTTTATTTCACTTATTATAATTCTTTCCATGAAAGTTTAATATTATATTTCAAATCCAAGAAGGGGCTTCCTCTTCTGCTCCTTCTCCTTCTCCTTCTCTTTCTTCCTCTTCTTCTAATAAGTGTTTGATCCAGAAACTTCATTTTGTAAGATAATAACTACAATCAAACTCTCTGGAAACCATATGCTTCCAATTTCAAACAAAATACTGTCTTCTAGTGTTCATTCTGTAATTGGAATTCCTAAATTTAGGAAGAAAATGTGGTAAAGAGGAAAAAAACACCATTTTGGCAGAAGTGGTTACCTCACTAACTGCTAAACTCAACTAATATTGAGCCAATTACATATTCAATTTAATTTTTAGTCAATTTATGTGGAAAGTTGAGATAAATAACACTTAATTCATTACTGGCTTCATTAATTTCAAAATTGCTTCTTGAATGACAAATACACTACAGAACCATCCCATGTGTTATATATACAGAGAGAAAGCCAGCAGAAAATTCCCTGTTTGCAAGGGGCTTTTATTCCAGTCAATGAGACAGATAAACTGAAAGCAGTAGTGGGGAGAAGGGCTGGCCAATAGCTCAGCAGATTAAAGTGCC